TTGGCCAGGATGGTCTCAATCTCTTGACTTCATGATCCACCCACCTCTGCCTCCCAAAGTGCTGGGATTACAGGCATGAGCCCTGTGCCTGGCCTTCTCTGCTTTTTTCAGGGGTTAATTTTTAAATTCTATTTGTTTCCTTTGTTGTATTAGCTGTAATTATTTTAATGGTTGCTTTCAGATTTATACTATATATTTTTAACTTGTCACTAACTTCCAGTGATATCTTGCAACCTCATATATATTCAAAGAAACTTACGACATTACATTTCCATTTCCCTTCCAGCCATTGTCCTATTGTTGTTACATATTTTAATTTTTCATATGATATAAACCCTACAATACATTTTTTTGCATTGGTCAGATGATTATCAAGCAGGTGGATCACCTGAGGTTAAGAGTTCAAGACCAGCCTGGCCGACATGATAAAACATTTCTACTAAAGATACAAAAATTAGCCAGGTGTGTTACTGCATGTCTGTAATCCTGGCTACTCTGGAGGCTGAGGCACAAGAACTGCTTGAACCACGGAGGCAGAAGTTGCAGTGAGCTGAGATTATGCCACTGCACTCCAGCCTGGGAGACAGAGTGAGACTTTGTCTCAAAAAATAAAATAAAATAGATGATAATCTTTGAAAGATATTTAAATAATAAGGAAAACATTTTTGAGACATGGTCTTGTTCTGTCACCCACTGCTACCACACACAACTGGCTATTTATTTATTTATTTATTTTAGACAGTATCTCGCTCTGTCTCCCAGGCTGGAGTGCAGTGGTGAAATCTTGGCTCACTGCAACCTCTGCCTTTCAGGTTCCAGCAATTCTCTTGCCTCAACCTCCTGAGTAGCTGGGATTACAGGCGCCTGCCACCATATCCAACTAATTTTTGTATTTTTTAGTAGAGACGGGGTTTCGCCATGTTGGCCAGGCTGGTCTCAAACTCCTGGTATCAAATGAGCCGCCCTCCTTGGCCTGCCAAACTGCTGGGATTGACCCTGCCCCAGGTCAATTTTGATTTTTCCCATCTCTCTATAGCAGTCATAATTTCCTGCATGTTTTCATGCTGATTTTTTTTTTTTTTTTTTTTTTAGATGGAGTCTCACTCTATTGCCAGGCTGGAGTGCAGTGGCACGATCTTGGCTCACTGCAACCTCTGCCTCCCGGGTTCAAGCGATTTGCTTGCCTCAGCCTCCTGAGTAGCTGGGACTATAGGCGCGTGCCACCATGCCCAGCTAATTTTTGTATTTTTAGTAGAGATGAGGTTTCACCACGTTGGCCAGGATGGTCTCGATCTCTTGACCTCATGATCCGCCTGCCCCAGCCTTCCAAGTGTTGGGATTACAGGCATGAGCCACCGAACCCAGCCCATGCCTGGTATTTTTTTTTTTTACTGGATATTCAACATTTCATAGTCTACCTTGTTCGGAGCTAGATATTTTTGTATACCTATAAATATCTTTGCATTTGTTTCTGGGATGTGATTAAGTTACTTGGAAACTGTGTAGTCCTTTTTTCTTTCTTTTTCTTTTTTTTGAGATAGGGTCTCACTCTGCCACCCAGGCTGGAGTGCCATGGTATGATCTTGGCTCACTGCTGTCTTGGCCCCCCTGGGCTCAAGTGATCCTCCAACTCAGCCTACCAAGTAGCTGGGACCACAGGCACCACCACCACATCTGGTGACTTTTTGGATTTTTGTGGAGATGGAGTTTTGCCATGTTGCCCAGGCTACTCTCAAACTCCTGGGCTCAAGTGATCTGCCTGCCTCGGCCTCCCAAAGTGCTGGTTTGCAGGTGTGAGCCCCCACATCTGGCTGTGGGTCTTGTTACTGAGTGGGGTTTGGTGGAAACTGAACTGTATTTAGTGTTGTGATGTTTCTTCCTTACTACAAGATGATACCATCTTCCCACCCTAACGATGCTCCCACTGTGGCTGCCGGACACAGGCGCGATTCCCATCCCTGCATGGGCTCTCATCCTGGGTGGGCTCTCATCCTGAGTGGGTCTTTCCCTGGTGGTGAGTGTCTTCTTCACACTCCACACTGATCTGTGCTTAGCCTCAAGGAGGCCCCTCTGTGGGTGTCTGGGCTTCTCTGTGCACCCACTCTCCAGCACTCTGGAGCACCTGTCAGCTCCAGCCACCTGCCTGGCCACCTCTTTCTTCCCAGGTGAGGGAGACGGCAGGTGGCTGCCTGAGTTCCCTTTCTCTTCACTGTGCCTGGGCGGTGGGCGGGACAGTCCTGGCTGCCAGGTGGGTTCCCCTCTCTCCAGCACCACGTCCGCGGTTGCGTGAGCCCAGTGCCTTGCGTGCCGTTTTCACATATATTTGTCTGTTTTTTTGGTTGTTGCAGCTGAGAGTGTGTAAGTCCGACCCGTCACTTCATCTCAATTCTCTGCCAGGCCCCCTCCACTGCACCCGTCCCCGTCAGTCCTACACCTGCTGCCGAGATGCCGCCTCTGCGAGGCCTGGCCTGCCTCTGCTGCCCTGGGGCAGGTGCCCTGGGGCGGCCAGCGAGGGCCCGTGGGGCTCACCTGGGCTGGGCAGGTGGCGACAAGAGCCTGTCTCCCCGCGTCGCCTCCTGAGTCGGCTGCGGAGGGCCAAGAGCCCAGGGTGGCTGGCCGTCCCGTTTCAGCTTTAAGGGCGGGACTCCGCTCCGCGCCACCTGACCCGAAGGGCCGTGGGAGCCGGGGAGGGCCCCGTCCCCGTTCCGGGGGTGGGCGAGGGGCGGGGGGCTTCCGGGGGCGGGTCCCGGGACAGCTGCGGGCTGGGACGTGGCGGGCGGGCGGGGAGGAAACGGGAGGGAAGGAAGGAGAGGGAAGGGGAGGGAACGGGAGGGGAGGGGAGGGGAGGGGAGGGGAGGGAAGGGGAGGGAACGGGAGGGGAGGGGAGGAAAAACGCCTCGGGAGCCTCCGCGCCGCCGCCAGAGGGCAGCGCGTGCCCGCGCGGGAGGACCCCGGCCCCGCCCCCTCCTCGTCCAGGCCCCTCCCCTCCCCGCCCAGACCCCCGCCCCTCTCCCCGCCCCGCCCTTCCCCCTCTCCTCGTCCAGGCCCCGCCCCCTCATCGCCAGGCCCCCGCCCTCTTCCCCGCCCCCGGGCCGCCCCCTGCCCGTGTCCCTCCCACTGCCCGCCCGATCCCAGTGCCGGCACCTGCACGCTCGCTGCTTCTGCACCGCAGGCTTGCAGCCACCTTTCCGCACACCTGTCCCCTTTTCACGCACCTGTGCCCGGCAGCCCGCACACCTGTCTACTCGCCGGCTGTCCGCGAAGTTCAGCGCCGCCCTCCCACTAGCGTGGAACCGCCCCACCCACCTGTCCGCGACCGCGGCGCTGGCCAGGAAGGCGGCAGGTGGGCCCTGGCGCTCCATGCTCCCTGTGGACAGGGCCGCGGAGGGGACGCAGGATGTTGTGCCGCTGAGAGGATCACGCAGCGATCCCGAGACCCTTCCCAGGGGCAGAGCGGCAACTGCGCCACCGAGGGCAGGACGGGTGGGCGGGGTGCACCGCCATCCGCCCTCGAGACGCCCACGCTGGCCCAGAGATGGGATTTGGGTTGCAGAACGCTGGGCTGGGAACCAGCGGCTTGGGATGGCCGTTTGGGCCTTGAGGAGTCCCAGACCCCTGACAGCTGGCGCCCCCCACGCCCCGCCCAGCTCTCCTGGGCCCGGGGACACCGGCTGCGAGGCCTCTCCAGTTTCAGTCTTCCCTGGGAGGGCTTCCCGGAAAAGAGGGCTTCTGACCCCAAAAAGAGGCTGCTCTGGGGATGGAGAAGGTGCTGGGTGCTGACCCCTGCGGAGTTGGGGGTGTGAGGCGGGAGGTGGGCAGGCCTTGGGGCTTGTGCAGAGAGGACTTCGAGACGCGGCAGGATGCGGGGGGCCACGGGGCGGCTGGAGGGCGCCCTGGGAGCCCTGCGTGCTGGCCCTGAGCCGGGGTGGCGGGCGAGGCGCGTGGAGGAAGAGGCGTGAAGAGCGGGGCGCACGGGTGAGTCACCTGTCTTCTCCGCGCCTCCGTCTCTTCCTCTGTTCCTGGGGCCGCCTGCCCGGGAGCGGGGATTAAATCGGACGCCGGCGTCTGTTATGATGAGGAAGGCCCTTGTCACTCTAGTCCCTAGCAGGTGAGAGGCGGGAGGCCTCAAGTGGGAACGTACCTACGGCCGAGGGCACCGGGGAACCCGAGCCATATCCCCCGCCCCGTCAGGACCTCTGCCTGCATCGCCGAGGCCGTCTCCACCATCCTGGCCCCGGCAGTTTCGCTGGGCGAAGCCCCGCTTCTCCCTTCTGCTCCCGGAGACACTCCCGGGGCGCGGACCTGCAGGACTTGAAGCGCCTGGAGCCGTCCCATTCGCCTCCTTCTGAGCAAGCAGAGAGCGGTCCAGGCCGGGAACGGGGCTGCGCAGAGGTCAGGCGGCCGCGCGCCCGGCCGGAGCCTGCTCTGGGGGTCGCGGGGATGCCCAGGGAGGTGGGCACCCAGACCTGGGCGCGCACGGGCGCAGGTGTGGGGAGGGCGCGGCGGCTCCCGGCCGGTCCTAGGGGCTTGCGGGACCCAAGGACTCGCGGGCGGGGCCGGGGGCGCGGCGAGGCCGGGCGGGGGCGGGGCCGCGCCGGGGGAAGCCGCCCGCCCGCGGGGCCGCCTGCACCGCGAGGGTTAAGGCCCGGAGCCCGGCGGGGCGGGGGCGGTGCGCGCGCGCGGATTGGGGAAAAGTTTGGCGGCGGGGCGGGGCGCGGGGCGGGCCGGCGCGCGCGGATTGGCCGGAAGTTGTGCCGGGGGCGGGGCGCGCGGCGGGCTCGGCGCTCGCTCCGGTAGAGTTGACAAAGCCCCGCAGGGAAGGACGCCTCGCGGCGCGGCGCCCCGGGCCCCTCGCCCCGCCGCCCCGGGACCCCGGCCCCGGACCCCCGGCCCGCGGACTTGCTCCCCGCCGCCCGCCCGGCTCGAGACCCCGCGCCCCGAGCGCCCGAGCCCGGACCCCGACCCGGCCGGAGCCGCCCTAGCCCAGGTAGCGCCGCCCCGCCCCGAGGCCGGGCCCGGGGGCGCTGGGCGGTGGGATGCGGCGTCCGGGGCGGCGATGACCGCGGAGCGCATGCTGCGGGCCTGGCCGTGACCCCGCTGCCCGCCCGCCGAGGTGAGCCCCCCCGCGCGCGTCTGCGACCCCAGGTGGGCACACCGGGGAGGGTCGGGGGCCTGGGGCGGGGGCGGGGCGGGTCCGGAGCCCCCGCTGCGCGGCCGCTGGGCACGGGTCACGAGCGCCGCCACCGCCGCTCCCGCAGGCCCCCGGCCTGCTCCGCCCCCGCCCCCGCGCCCCACGTCCCACGTGGGCCCCCCAGCGCAAATTTGTCCGCTAATGGCGCAGGCGATTATCTGCGGGGTGCTGGGTGTTGTGTGTCCTGCGGGCAGAGCCGGAGTTACAAGTGCCAGGAATCCAGACGGTGTTTGGAGCGGGAGGGAGGCGGGGGAGCCCGGTAATTAGTGTAAACCCTTTGTCTGCCTTTGATACCCACAGCTTCTCCCCGCAGCGGCTTCCTCCGCCTGGAGCGCGGGCGGGGAGGGCCTGTGGGGGGACCAGACCCCTGATCGCCGCTGCCCGGGACTGGGGTGGTGGCAGCTCTGGGGCCCCGGGCCCGGGCCGGAGAGCAGTATCCTCCAGTTCTGCGCCTGGGTGACTGCGCCCCCAATGCCCCCAGGTCCGGACAGGCCGAGATGACGCCGAGCCCCGCGTTGCTGCTCCTGCTGCCGCCGCTGCTGCTGGGGGCCCTCCCACCGGCCGCCGCCGCCCGAGGTGAGTTCTGGCGCCCTTCCCGGCCAGCCTGGCCTCCGCCAGCGCCGCCCCCTTCCCGCCCAGCCCTGAACCCTGCCACAGTACCCGCCTGGCACGCGCCGTGCCGCGCCCCTGCCGCTCCGCTCACCAAGCCCCTGTCCCTCCAGGGCCCCCTCACCCACAGGCTGTCCACAGCACCCACCAGCGCTCCCGCAGCTGGCTGGAGGGTCCCTCTCACTCCCTCACTCATGCTTGCTGGCCAGATGGGCTCTAGCCCTGGCCCACCAGGACAGGCTCCTGGTCTTGCAAACACTTTCACACTCATACCTGCAGCCCAGGGCAGATGGTCACCTGTGGATTCTTGGGGAGTGGGCTGTTTGTGGCCACAGTGGACCCAATTAGGACTCTGGGAGCCTGCAGAGACCCCCACAGAGGCCAGGATGGGCATTGGGAGATATTGGTGACATACTTGGTGTCCGGGACTGAAACTGACACGCACACCCCCAGTTCCCCAGTTCCCTAGTCCCCCAGCCAACCTAGCTGTGCTCCCTGGGCCTCACCATCCCCAGGCAGGTGGTGCAGGGTGGAGGCTGTATGGACAAGTCCCCAGAGCCATACGCACCCCAGGACTGCGTGCCTGTGGGCACCCACTGCACCATGGCCTGGTGTGTTCTCACACCTCCGACCTCCAGGTGGGCAGCCATGCCCCAGGTCCCAGCCCCAGCAAGGGCATCCGGACTTGATGGGTGATGTGTGCCTGCAGACTCCCGCCCGCCATGTTCCAGGATCTGGGCACAGTGCTGGCTGCCCCCATGACTAGGCGGGACCTGTGGCCAGGCCGGCCCTTCGGGTGTACTGACCACTCAGGATTGTCCGCGCTGTGTCCACCAGTCCTCTTTGAGGCTTCGCACCCCTCCCCTGCCGCCCAGCAAGTGCGACGCATCCAACCTGGCCTTATATGGGCACATTTGGGTGTTGGGTGGCGGGCGGCGGCCCAGGTGGGCCTTATGCCACAGCCCCCCCCGCCTGCCCACACGGGCCTGGCCGAGCGGCTGTTCTGAGGGCCCAGCGGCGTCCTGGGCTGTGTGGGCACTCAGGCCATGCTGGGCGAGCCCCCACCACGGCCAGCGGCCTGGACTTGCATTCTCTTTGATCTGTTTGGCCTCCCCATCCCTGCACCTGCCTGTCCTCTGGCCACTCAGCCAGGGAGGCTCTGGAGGCCTCTGCCCTGGACTGGGGCTGAGGCTGACTGGTGGATGGCAGCGGTCAGCGATGGCAGCAGTCAGCAGAGACTGCCTCTTGGCGAAGATGCCCCAGCAGCCACCCCCTCCACCTTCATCGTCCTCAGCCTCGGCCTTGGGGCCGAGGATATCTAGCCCTGACTTTGCGTGGCAAAGGCCCTGGTGGCACTGGGGAGCTGGGATTGAACTGCTTTCCAAGGGCAGGGGCCTCTGTGGTTTGGGTGGAGGTGGGGAGGACGTTCTTCCGGACTGTGCTGACTTTTCCCCAGCCCAGCCTGGGCTCCACGCAAGGGCCTTCACGTGTGTCCCTCCCACTCTGTGAACAGGCCCAGTGTGCACCTCCGTTAGGCGGAGGACCAGCACGCAGAGGGCCTGGGAGATTTTTGAAAGACATTTTCCGCTGTGTCGTAAGTTCTGGAATCTGCACATCGCTAGACTCGGATCATATTTAAAAAGTTCCTCTTTTCCCAAAGTTTCACAATCTTGGTGGATTTGTCTTAGACTGCTTTTCTTTTTCCAACTTGAAAAAAGATAGGAATTGGCCTTCTCCGTTTCCATTTGATTTCTCCCAGTGGGAACCTGCAAGGTTCTGGCTAAAACGCCTTTCACAAATAACTCTGAAGGAAGTCGTTTCAGGGCTTTCTGAGAAGTGCCACCTTTGAACTTTTGCAAGCATGGCCTTGGGGACCAGCTCTGAGCAGCCTGCCTGGAAGGCCACTCCCCTGCACTCTGCACACGGCCAGCTGCTGTGGGCAAGCAGAGCCCTGACCCAGGTGGGCAGGGTGCCTGTCGGGGGTGCCCATGCTTGGGGGGTGGCATGGTCAGGGTCGGCTCCCTATGGGGGCAGGAGTTGGAGGGGTGTGTGACTCAGGGAAGGGAGAGCTGTGGGTGCACAGTGCTGACCTTGGCCCCCAGCCAGGGCTCAGGGCTCTCTTCCCTTGCCCCAGGCCCCTCCGGGCAGTGGCTGGCTAGTGTGCATCGGGCTGAGGTGGATGTGTGGGAGCTCGGCCCAGCCACTGCAAGGTGGGAAATCGGGCCAGCCGCCCCGTTTCCATCTCGGGGCCCCACTCCTGGAAGGGAAAATAAATCACTGTCCCCTTGGGGGGAGGGAGGGAGCGGTGAACAAAGTCGCCTTTGGCTGGGCCTGGAAACACCGACCGCAGACTCCTTTATCCATTGTGGGGGAATCAATGGGCCTCCGGGCTCCCTTTCAGCCGCAGGCCCCGCGCCGGCCCCGTCGAGGGGAAATGTTGGTTTTTCCCCAGTTGCGGCCTCCAGCCCCTGGCTTGCCCAACCTGGCTCAGGAACCGCGGCCGTGCTGGGAGAGGTGGGCTGTGCCCGCAGGCTGGATCCCGGCTGTGGCACGCTGGCCCTCTGCAGCCCAGGCCTGCTGCTTGGTCCAAGTGGCCTCCTTTGCCCCATCTGGGCCTTTGCCAGTGACTCCAGGCCTGGTGTGTCCAGGCGACAGCCTCAGTGGGCGGTCAGCACAGGAGGGAGAGGTGTGCCCGCGCCCCACATGCCCCCTCCAGGGCTGCACCCCGTGCTTGCCTGCCACTCTCCCTGGCGGCCGTCCCTGGAGCTGCTGGTCAAGCCCCAGGGTGCCTGGCCTGGCTGCCCTCTGTAGGCAGCTCCAAGGTAGGCCACAGCCCCAGGGCCCACAGTCCAGGATGGCCAGGACAGGGCGAAGCAGGGGATAGGAGAGGAGGGGCCTCAGGCCAGGAAAGGCCTAACAGGGGAGGTGGGCACCAGTCCCCTTGAAGCTAGTTGGCATGGGTGGGGGTCTCCCTTCAGGACATTGTCTCTTGAGGTGGGGGGCGGGGGGCTCCCATCTTGGCAGAAAGCCCAGCCACTTTTCTTCTTGCCTGGTGCTGTTAAGGGGCTGAGGAGTGAATATTGGCCGTGCAGTGACTGGGGAGGAGGGAGCCGGGCTGCCACACTGCTGTGCGGCGTGGGGCCCACTGGGCATGGTGGCACTCTCTGGGCTTCTAAGACTGTGAGCCCCAGGGCAGCCTCATGTCTCCCTGGAGAGCTCAGGTTCCTTCTCCAGGCCTACTGGCCAGTGGCTCCTGGCCTGCCCTCTGCACGCCCGATAACCTTCCTGCCCTGTTCCTAGTAGGGACTGCAGAACTTGGTCTGGAGCGCAGCACCACGCCCTTGACGCAGACATCACTGTCCCCGAGGGCCAGGCGGCTGTGCCTGTGCCCTGCAGGCACCTGGGGAGCTGCAGCTGAAGGCCCAGTGCCCTCCTGTCCCCAGCCCTGTCCTTGAGAAGTCCACCATGTGAGTGGGAGTGAGGGCCTCTGGCCTGGTGGTAGTGCCTGGCACGCCTGGGCTGCTCGGTGGTTGGGGCAGCCCCACCTGGGGACCAAGAGCCCCTTGGCAGGCGTCAGGGTATCAGCTAACCCCAACCTCTGGCCTCTGGGGTTCTGGGCTCAGGAAATGTTCTTGTTGACACTTCTGAAGTAGGAAAGGCTTGCCAAGGTCAGCAGGCAGAGCTCCTTGTGGGAGGTGGAGGTGGAGGCCCCAAGTTCCGGGCAGGGGAGGCCTGGGGGCTGCAGCCAGACAGGCTGGGGTCTTGAGGTGGCAGTGGGGGCCGCATGAAGCCGGGGGGGCCAGGGAGATCTGGACTGGGGTGGGTATGGAGGGGTCCTTGCCTGGTGAGGTCTGGACTGTGAAGGATCTGGAGGGGTCCTTGCCTGCTTTAACACTGTGTGAGGTTCTCTCCAGGGCATGGCACTGTCTGGTGATGCTCTGGTGCCCGCTGTGTGCCCTGGGGTGTTGAGGAGGGGGTAACAGTGCCCTGAGGCTGGGGTTGCAGAAGGTTGCCCCTGAAGGCTTCCAGAGGTGGCCCCCCAGCCTGCTGCCCTGCTGGGTGCCCAGGGCTGAGCAGTGTGGTGGACCACACCAGCTTGCCAGGCCACAGCCTATGGGGCACCCACCTACGCACGGGCCCCCAGTTCCCCTGCACATCCTGAGGGCCTCCTGGCTACCGGTGACTGTGCCCTGGGTCTGTGCATGCATGTGCACATGTGTGCCTGAGCATCCTGGGGCTGGGGCAGGGCCTGGCCCTGGCACCTGCTGGGCAGCAGGCTGTGTGGTGGTCACCTGTGCTCTGGCTCCTGGGCGTGGCCACTCTTGTTCTTGGCTTCCTGGGAGGGTACTCGGCCCTGGCACTGACTCTGGGGTTTCCTACTCACTCCTGCCCAGGGTGCCCCTGGGGGCCTGGCACAGCCACACAGCGGCCATCTGTGGGAGGGGCACTGTTTCTCCTCTTGGTAATCGGGGGGCTGTCAGCCACAGAAGTCTCAGCACCTGGGTTGGCTCTGCAGCCCCTTAGGGCACTGGCACCAGGTGTCCTGATTCTCCTCCCCACCCTTCTGGTCAAGGTGAGCCCCTTTCCCCAGGCCACTATGCTTCTCCGGAGGCGGGGGGTCTGGCCACCCCCACCCCGTGGCTAGGCCCCTGAGCTGAAATTTCTCCAGCTGGAAACTCGTGGGGCCACACAGGGCCCCTGGTTCCCAGGCAGCCTCGCTTCACTCTGGCCCAGTTCAGCTGCCAGGCCACCCTTTGTCCAGCCCCTCCATTCCAGGAGCCCAGAGTTGGCCAGTCAGGGCTGGGGTTGAGGGTCCCCACAGGGCCGGCCCCCAGCAGTCAGCTCCAACTGCCCCTCCCTCCCTGGCACACAGTGGCTCGGTCTGTCCCCATGGATGCCCCACTCCACCATGTTGTCAGCCAGCATCTGCCCTGGCATGGTGGGTGTTCCTTCCCCTGGAAGCCCCCGGCAACTGCACTGGGCCAGGAGTCCTGTCCACCCTGGGCCGGCGCTGCTGTGGCGCTGCAGGGGGACGGACACCACCGGCCTGGGCTGTAGAGACGTCTTGGGAGGTGCAGGGCGCACTGGAAAGTTGGTTGAGGCCATTTCCAGCTGTTTCCTGGTCCTAGCTTGTGCCCCTTCCCCCGCCCCCCGACAGAGGGGCCGTGCTGCCACACGTGTGCCCCTGCCTGTGCGCACCTCTCCCTGTGCCCGGGGCTGCATTCCTGGGGGAGCACTCCCTCCTTGCACCCTGTGGGCACCAGGCCCCACGGAGAGGAGCTGCCGCGGCCTCGGGAGGGAAGCCCCACAGCACAGGGTCGGAGTGCTTCGTCCTCTGTACCTGCTCTGGCTGGCCCCACTGCCATGCCGTTCTCCCTACAAATGGCCCCTGAGCGCCTGCTGTATGCCAGGCCTCTTGACATCACGAGCACGGGAGTGAGGCTTGGGTGTGGGTTCAGACCATGTGGCCAGGGCAGGCCCCTCCAGAAGAGACCGTTGGAGCCCTGGAGAAGCTTGGGCATGGGGGCGTCGGAGGGGGGATGCCAGACGGGGCAGGTGTGGGGAGCTGATCGATGGCCTGTGAAGGCTGGGGGAAGAGCAGGCTGCAGGGGGGTCCTGCCTGTGTCCCTCCAGACTCCAACCCAGGGCTTGCTCACCTCCACCCTCCCTGGGCCCTGGGAACGAGGAGCCTGTGTGTCTGGGTACAGTGTGTGTGACAGGGGGTGTGGGCAGGGCGGCCTCTGGCTGCTGCTTGGTTGTGGGCTTAGCTGCTGCTGTGGGAAACCCCTGCCCCTCCCCCTCCCCCAATTGTGTTTTTTACAGCTGGGTGGGGGGAGAAGAAAGAGGGTGGGGGAGGGGTTGGCAGCATCCCCCTCTTGGCCCACAGCCTCTGAGTCTTTCTCCACAACCAACAGCAGTGAGATCCTGTCTCAGCCTCAGTTTACCCTTATGTCTGGCTCCCACGTGGCCCTTGGTGTCCTGCCGGTGCTGGGACCTCTTGGCTGTGGCTGAGTGTGTGTGTAGGGCGTGGGGTGTGCTGGAGAAGGAGGTGGGGGGTGTCCTGGTGGGTGGACGGCCCTGGGGGCTGCTGTCCGGCCCCAGTGGAGCCCCGACACTGGCTCCCTGTGTCTCCTCTGCTGCAGGGCAGGGTAGAGCAGCTGGTCTCCCTACCAGGTACCTGTGCCCTCGGGTCCTGCCTCAGTTTCCCCATAGGACATCCGTCCAGGTGGCATGGGCTTGCCTGAACACAGAGCCTGGGCCACTGTCCTGGTACACTCAATTCCCAGGAATCTGGGGGCTGGGCTTCCTCCTGGCAGGCCGTCCTGCGGGGGTCTTGGGCCTGCCACGGTAGGGGGTCCAGGGATCCCAGGTGGGGGTGGGGTAGGCTGGGCGAGCAGTAGGGAGGGAGGCTGTTTGCTTTAGGATAAGGCTGGCTCCTCTGGCCTGGCTGCCGCCGCCTGTGCCCACAGCATTTGCAGGCCGGCCCTGGGGTGTCCACGCTTCCGGCCGTACAGGTTGCTTGGCTCTGCACTCTTTCTTAGCAGTGCCCACGAGCAGGGGTCCTGCCTCCCGTCTGTGCGTGTCATCCTGCGCCTCCCACCTGCCCATGGGGACCCCTGCCTTCCCAAGCCTTGCTCGTGTCTGCCTGTGGCAGGGCGGGGGCTGGGACTGGGGCTGGAACTGGAGGGGGCCCCTCCCCGATGTGCGGCTGGGGCTTCTCAGCCTCTGAGGAGGGCTCCCTCCTGGATATGGGGGGCTGGGTCAGTGTGCCCCCCTAGGACAGGGCCAGGCACTGGCTCTCTTGCTCCTGCTGGGCAGTTGTGTGGGTGAACGCTCATGTCGGCCCCCCCACTGGGAGGCCCTGTGGGTGGTGGGATTTCAGGCAGCAACAGGTGCTGGTGGGGTCGCCCTAGGGTGGTGCTGGGACCTGAGCAGGCTGGGAAGGGGTCAGGAGCCCGTGCTGTGGGCCCTACAGCCGCTTCCTCCCCGGGAGAATTTCGCCGGAGCTGCCCCCAGCCCTGGGCAGCTTCCAGGAGAACCACCCTGAGCGGGTGGGCTGGCAGCCCCCCACAGCCACTGTCTCATTTCCTTTCTGGGAGCTGCAGGGAGGGAGGGAAGGAGGGGCTGTGGGGCTGGGGCTCAGGGCCTGGGTGGGAGAGTTCTAAGTTGAGGGAGAGATAGGGGTCAGAGATGAGAGCCCCGCATGTCTTCTCAGAGAGGCCGGGGTGGGCCGGTGGGCCAGGGCTGGGAGGAATCCCTCTGTCCACAGCCCCAGCCCCACCCCCACCCTGTATATTTCTGGTCATGGAGTGAGGAGACTCCACGTCCCCATTCCCAGTGGGCCGGATGATGCTGGTGGGATCAGAACCCAGAGGCTCTGGGCCACACCCCCTGTGCTATCAGTGCCCTTGGGAGGCCTCCAGAGAGGTGATAAGAATTCTCCATGAGGGTCCCTGTCCCCAGACTTGGGGGTCACAGTGGGAGCTGCTGCCCGAGTGTCTGAAGACGCCCGTGGAAGATGCTGCGGGGCCATTGCTAACCCCGTTGAGACGGCTTGGGGTGCTGCTGCCCCTCAGAGTCTCTGCATGCAGTCCGGATGCTCCCAGACAGCACTGGCTGTGGTGCAGGATGGACACCGTCCCCCATGGGCTGGCAAGGGGTGCCCTGGGAACCATGGGTGCCTGCGGCCCCTCTCAGATGTGCAGAGCAGCGGGTGGGCAGTGATGAGGCACGGTGGGAGCCGCGGTGGCCGCTGTAAGGCTACTTGGCATTGGAAGCAGCACGTGGGGCGTTGGGGATGCACGGCCCTCCTCTCTCAGGAGCTCCGTCCAGGTGCAGGCCTGCGGTGGGTGCCCCGAGTTTGTGAGGCCTGCAGGGTTGTATTCTAGACCTCCCCTGGCTGGCTAGGCCCTGGGGTTGGTCCCACACACTCAGGGCCCTGGCCCCGGCCTTAGCCCGGAGGCACCCAGGCAGGGGATGGGGTGGGGTGGAGGCCCAGCCAGGGTGGGAGTGGGTTTCTTTCGGCCGGGAAGGGAGCCGTGGCTTAGCCTGGGACTTTGCTTCTCCACGTAGGGTGGGTTGGGGCAGGTGGCCATGTGGAGCCCCAGCCTCTGTGCTCCAGTGGGTTTCACGGCAGGGTGGGGGATGTACTGGCTGTCAGCCAGACAGGAGCCAGCAGTGCCCAGGGCCAGCCCCAGCCACTGTCTCTGCAGTTTTGCCCTCTGACCCTAGGGCCTTGGGGTCATGCCCCTTCAAGGCTAAGGTGCCTGGCAGGGCACAGCCCTTGGGGTGGGCAGACAGACCTGGGCAGATACAGCCCCTGAACTGAGATCTCACGCTGACAGAGAAGTGGGTGCCACACAGACTCGTCCACACGTTGCATACCACAGGTGGCGGCCAAGCTGGGTGGGATGCAATAATGTGGGGTTGCTGCCCCGTGCCCGACCCAGCTGGGCCCTGGGCTGATGGTTGGGCAGGAGTTGGGTGAGGGGCCTGGGGCCTGTGTGGGACCCCCCGAGGCTGCCCTTATCCTTGGGGAACCGCTGCAGCCTCTGATCCCGGGTGGGCGGCTGCTTCCTGTGTGACCCGGAGGAGCCCCTGCTCTCCTGGCCACCAAATGCAGCAGTTTTGCATCCTCTGGGGACCCTACTCCCCTCTCGAGTCTCAAAGCACCAGCTTCTGGGGCTGTGGGGCCACCCCGGCCGCGAGAGGCTGCCAACATGGTGCTTGGTGGGCTGGTGCTGAGGCCTGGTGAGCGCGGGCAGCTGGGGTCGGGGTTGGGGGCAACCCAGGGGGACCTCGGGCCTGAGGTCTGCGCTGGGCTGTGGCTCCCCTCTTGGCCCCCCTCTGCTCCAGACCCCAACCCCCCCTTCGCTGACTGGCCCTGGCGCCACCTGCAGGCCCCCCGAGGATGGCGGACAAGGTGGTCCCGCAGCAGGTGGCCCGGCTGGGCCGAACCGTGCGGCTGCAGTGCCCGGTGGAGGGGGACCCACCGCCGCTGACCATGTGGACCAAGGACGGCCGCACCATCCACAGCGGCTGGAGCCGCTTCCGCGTGCTGCCCCAGGGGCTGAAGGTGAAGCAGGTGGAGCGGGAGGATGCCGGCGTGTACGTGTGCAAGGCCACCAACGGCTTCGGCAGCCTGAGTGTCAACTACACACTCACTGTGCTGGGTCAGTCGGGGCTGTGGTGAGAGGCCACAGGCTGGGTCGGAGTGGGAGGCGAGGGGCGGACAGGGACACACCTGGGGTCAGAGTCAGCCAGCCCTGGGTGGACAGCCTTCCCTCAGCGCCCTGCCTGGCCTTAGCTGGCTGCACCTCTGCCACCCCCCCGCTGCTGGGCCCCCTCCCCATCGGGCTGCAGCCCTGGGGCCTTCCTCTGGGCGAGGAGGGCAGGAGGCCGGGAGCCGTCGTCTGTGGTCCCACAGAAGGGCTGGGGCGAGGCCTTGGCAGGGTGTGCCAGGCGTCGGCTGTGACTTTGAGGCTCGGGTTTCGGAGTTCAGAGGGCCGCGGGATGCATGGCCTTTCTGTTCTCTTCTGTCCCTGGGGCCCAGGCACTGGGCTCGGACAGGTGTCCAGAGACACGCCCTCCATACATAGGGACCCCAGCACCCCGCCTGCTCTGCTGGGCTCCTGGGTGTGGGGCCCTCGGGTGGGGCTCCTGGGAGCCAGGCTGGCCTGTTTCTGAACACAGGAGCCTGGCCCCAGCCCCAGCTGGGTCTGGGGGTGCGGCCTGAGACAGCCTGGCCCCTGGTTCTGGGCTCAGAGGAGGAGCGGCTGTCACGGGGCTGATGGGGGGACATTCCACAGCACGCCCTGCCCCTCGGCATTGTGTGGAATGGGAACGCTGCGGCTGTCCCCGGCCCCACCCCACAGTCCTTTCAAGGGGGACGATGACCGGGTGGTGTGGGAGCCTTGTGTGTTCACCAGCCCTCGGCCCCTTGATGTGGGCTAGGGTTACCGCAGCTGCTGGCCGTGGCCTGGCTCCCTCCTCCCCCGAGGCCTACAGACCCCCCGGAGCCAGGGTGGGGGCCGGCCCTCCAGCCCTAGCCATGCCCATCAGGGTCACCTGTACCCAGTGTGGGCCAGCGGCCCTTGCCCAGCTGTCCCTGGGATTCTGGGATGTGGGTGTGTGGCGTGGCCCCCTTCCTGGCTTTGCAGGGCTGTCCTGGCTGGTGCTGGGGGTGCCAAGGGCCATGGGGGAGTTGGGGGGCTCCTCAGGGCCTCCCTCATCTGCCTTCCCTGTGTACCTCCATTTCTCTGCAGATGATGCTCGCCCGGGGAAGGAGAGCCTGGGGCCTGACGGCTCCTCTGGGGGTCAAGAGGACCCCGCCAGCCAGCAGTGGGGTGAGCAGGGGCCACCGTCTGCCGGGGTGGGGGCGTCTGTCCGTCCTGGCCCCTTGGGTGCTTCCCTGTCCTCTGACCTCGACGCCACCCCACCCCACAGCACGGCCCCGCTTCACACAGCCCTCCAAGATGAGGCGCCGGGTGATCGCACGGCCCGTGGGCAGCTCCGTGCGGCTCAAGTGCGTGGCCAGTGGGCACCCTCGGCCCGATATCACGTGGATGAAGGATGACCACGCCTTGACACGCCCAGAGGCCGGTGAGCCCAGGAGGAAGACATGGACGCTGAGCCTGAAGAACCTGCGGCCGGAGGACAGTGGCAAATACACCTGCCGTGTGTCAAACCGCATGGGTGCCATCAACGCCACCTACAAGGTGGATGTGATCCGTGAGTGTGGCCCAGGGCACTGGTGGGGCCTGGGGGGCTGGTGGGCCAGGGGTGTTGGCAGGGCCTGGGGGAGCTGGCAGAGCCTGGGGAGCTCTTGGTGTAGAATCCAGTGGCTCCCGGGAGCCTCGCCCATGTGCCACATTCTTGCAGAGCGGACCCGCTCCAAGCCTGTGCTCGCCGGCACGCACCCAGTGAACACGACGGTGGACTTCGGGGGGACCACGTCCTTACAGTGCAAGGTGCGCAGTGATGTGAAGCCCGTGATCCAGTGGCTGAAGCGGGTGGAGTACGGCGCTGAGGGCCGCCACAACTCCACCATCGATGTGGGCGGCCAGAAGTTCGTGGTGCTGCCCACGGCTGACGTGTGGTCGAGGCCCGATGGCTCCTACCTCAATAAGCTGCTCATCTCCCGCGCACGCCCAGATGATGCGGGCATGTACATCTGCCTCGGCGCCAACACCATGGGCTATAGCTTCCGCAGTGCCTTCCTCACTGTGCTGCCAGGTGTGTGGCCGCCAGGGCCCAGCCCCACCCCCCAGGCCCAGCATCTCACCCACTGGGTGGGATCACCCTCCCTCCCTCCCTCCCTCCTTCCTTCCCTGGGCTGTGCAGGCCAGGTCATCTGCCGGCTCAGGGACACCATCTCCACAGCCCCCGGGATGGGTCTGGGGCACTCTCCTGGTCCTTGTGCCAGCGTTCTCCTTCCCACCTCCTTTCCTCTCCCTCTTGCAGACCCAAAACCACCAGGGCCACCTGTGGCCTCCTCATCCACGGCCACTAGCCTGCCGTGGCCTGTGGTCATCGGCATCCCGGCCGGCGCTGTCTTCATACTGGGCACCGTGCTCCTGTGGCTCTGCCAGGCCAAGAAGAAGCCATGCACACCTGCTCCTGTGCCTCCTGTGCCGGGGCACCGCCCACTGGGGATGGCCCGTGACCGCGGTGGGGACAAAGACCTTCCCGTGTTGGCTGCCCTCGGTGCTGGCCCTGGTGTGGGGCTGTGTGAGGAGCATGGGTCTCTGGCAGCCCCCCAGCATCTGCTGGGCCCAGGCTCGGTTGCTGGCCCTAAATTGTACCCCAAACTCTACACGGACATCCACACGCACACTCACACACACTCACACACACACTCACATGTGGAGGGCAAGGTCCACCAGCACATCCACTATCAGTGCTAGATGGTCCCGCCTCTGCGGTGGGCACATGGCCCCGGCCAGATAGGCAGGCTGGGAGGATGGAGGACAGGCGGCAGACGAAGGGGGGCCCACGGCGAGGAGGCACGGCCAGCACCCTGGGGCACCCAGTGTAAAGCATAGCCCCTGGACATACACAGACAGAGACAAGCTGCCTGGACATCTACATACACACACGTGCACACACGGAGACATGCCTGAACCACACTCAGAACTATGCTGCCCTAACACACATGCACACAGACATGCCCGAACACACGCACACACAGATATGCCTGAACACACAGACATACCTGAACATGTGCACAGATATGCCTGAAGACAGACATGCCTGAACACGCACACAAAGATGCCTGAACATGCACACGCAGACATGCCTGAACACAGACATGCCTGAACATGCACACACAGATATGCCCGAACAGACACACACAGATACGCCTGAAAAGACACACACACAGATATGTCTGAACACACACACGCAAGACGTGCCTGAACATGCACACACAGACATGCCTGAATACAGACATGCCTGAACACGCACACACAGATATGCCTGAACACAGATACGCCTGAACAGACACAGATATGTCTGAACACACACACGACGTGCTCGAACATGCACACACAAGACATGCCTGAACACACACATAAGACATGCCCAAACGCACACACAGACATGCCTGAACATGCACACACATAGACATGCCTGAACACATGCAGACATGCCCGAACACACAGACATGCCTGAACACGCATGCACAGACATGCCTGAACATGCACACACAGACATACCCAAACACACATAGACATGCCTGAACACACACACAGACATGTCTGAACATACACGCATGCCTGAACATACACACATGCCTGAACACGCACACAGACATGCCCAGATGCATGCACATGCAGACATGCCAGAACATGTATGGACATGCTGCCTGAACACACGCTGCTTGGACATAGGCACACGCAGATGCACTCCCTGAACACATACGCACCCACACATGTGCAGCTATGCTGCCTAGACACACACATGTCAGGGAGGCGTGCGGTGTGTGTGCAGTGAGGGCTAGATGATGAAGGACTCCCTGCCCCACAGTCACTCTCCCACCCCTGCCTGCCTGTCCCCTGCCTGGCCTTGGTGGCTATTTTTGCCACCTGCCCTGGGGTGTCCAGGAGTCCCCTACTGCCATGGCTGGGGGCACAGCAGCCCCAGGCCTGACAGGCTGGAGCCCATGGCAGGTGGCTCACCCCCACTGCATTCTCCCCCTGCCAGGGAGAAGGGGCCTTGGTATTTATATTTAAGAAATGAAGAGAATGTTAATAATGATGGAAGGAGGGCTGAGGTGCAGGGACTGTGGTCTCTCCTGGGGCTCAGGACCCTCCTGGCCTTTCAGCCAGGCTGATGCCCACACCCCTTCTGGGCCAGGCACCACCCCCACCCTGCTGTCCTGGTGGCCCCGGACTTCTGTAATTTTATATAGACTTTGAGCTGAAACCCCGTATATTTAATTTATTTTGTTAAACATGAAAGCACATCCTTGCCCTCTAGGCTGGTGTCTCTGCCCCGTCTACATGTGTGTGCTCACATGTGCGTGTTCACATGTTGTGCCTGCGTGTCCAGCCTGGTCTCCAGAACCAGTAGCCTGACCCTCCTCTTCCTGGGCCAGAGTCACAGGGACTGGGACCTGGGGGTCTCCAGGTCTGTCACCAGCACCTTCCAGCGGGAGCGCTTGGGTTTGCTGGGCCTCGGGTGGTGTTGGTGTGAGTACCGCCCACAGGCCTGGCCTGGCCGGCGCCCTGCTGCTCTGGCCAAGTGCCGCCCTTTCTCCATGCTGGGGTCACCCTCTGGCCCTCAGTTCAGGGCCTGGGCTCCCAGTCCCTCCTCAGGCTTTGGTGGGTGGCCCAGGGGAGACACAGGCCTCTGAGAGCTGGGGTGGGGCCAAGCTCACGTCACCTCTGACCTCAGGACTCGGTCCAAGTGCCCTCCCAGCCACCAAGAGGTGCTGTGACGGAGGTCACTCCCCGCTTACCCGGTCAGCAGGAAGGGTCGGGGCTGCCAGCTCCACCCAGGGCCTCTGCCTGGCCGGGGGCTCCATTGGCTTTGTAAGAAAAGGAACCGAGGCCTCTCGTGTGTTCGGCAAATCGTGAGGCCCAGCGCGCCCCCGGAGCCTTGCCTTGCTGCCGTGCAGGGCACCTCCTGGCCCTCGCTGGTTCCGAGAGCTTTCCGCTGGAGGAAGCTCGCCCTGCCTGGCTTCGAAGGTGACAGGTGGGCTCTTGGGAGAAGTGTCGGGCACCTTCCCCATCTGGGGCTTCTGAGGACCCCATGGCCTTCAAGATGTCCCCTTTCTGTCCTCTGCCTCCCCGTGGTGGATCCTACTCCTGTCCCCTGAGGGAAGTTGTGACTCCATGGGCAGGGACAGCTTCTGGCACAGCTCTGGCGAGGGCTGTGTGTAGCCGATGGGTGCTGTGGGAGCCTGGCCACCCTGACCGGGGGCGGTGGGGGGGCGCTGTGGGAGCCTGGCCACCCTGACTGGGGGCAGTGGGGGCTCCAGGCGGCCCACAGCTGGCAGCCAAACAGATGTTTCCCAGACAGGACAGGCTGCTGGCCGACGACTGGTCGGGTTTCAGTCTGGAGTGGGGGAGGGCAGAAGGGAGACTTGAGGCAGCTAACGACCTTGGACAGCCGGGAGGCCTCCAGCCATTGGTGGGTCGCAGGGGACAAGCTGCCCCTGCTCCCAGGGAGTAGTGGAGGGATGGGCCGTCTGAGAGGGCTGTGCCCTAGAGCCTCTGAAGGAGGCACTGGGACCACAGACCTCGTGCCTGCCCTCTGCCGTCTGAGATCCAGACCACCACGCAAGGCCGCCCTCGACCTGTGGGCCAGCCTGTCTCACGCCTGCCCAGGGAAGGTGGTGACTGATGCTGTGGGGTCCTCGACGGACAGGCCAGGCCTGGCCCAACCCCCGCTGGGTCCTGGGCTCTCAGGAGGCCAGCCTGGGCCCTGGACTTTGTCATGCTGTGGCCCTGTTGGATGCCAGGCTGGGCAGGGGGGCCCTGAGGAATTAGGACAGACCCTGCCCAGGGGCCCCGGCCACCCCTGGGGCCAATAGCCTGGAGCTCAGACTCCTCAGTCTTTCCCAAGACCTCCTCAGAGGCTGGCTAGAGCCCCTCCTTTCTTCCCTGTGACTTCTAGACCCTTCTCCCCTGGCTGTCCAGCCACGAGAGCCTTGCACCCACCCACGCCCCTCTGTTACCACAGTCTCTAGCCCAAGCCTGCCGGGACCCTGCCCCGTAGACGCCTGTTCCTGGCTGTCTCTTGCCTGGTGCTGCCCCGTGGACACCTGTGGCTGTGGTGCCCACCCCCCGCCGGCCCCGTGGCCACACTAATGCTCTTTCCAGCATATCCGTCACAGAAGCACATGCCAGTGCCCGGCACGGGCTCCCTCGTGGCATCTGCACCTCCATACTCCCGAGAACGGAATCGCATTCCCCTCCCCTCTGCGTGCAGGGGGTCCTGGGAGCTCAGAAGCCACGCTTCAAGGACCAGAGGCAGGAGGCGGGCGGAGGTGCCCAGGGCGGGAGTGTGGCTAGCAGGGCAGAGGACAGGGCTGTGTTTCTGATGGTGGTCCGCCCGGGCTGAGTGCCTGAAGAATGGGGCACTCTGCATCTCAGGCTCACTGGCCAGGAGGCTTGAAGAGCTGGGTGGGGCCTGTGGGAGGTGGGGGTGCTGCTCTGGGGGCCCCAATCTCGCCGGTTCTGCACTGGTCACCTGCACACCATTGCACTATGGGGGCTCCAGGCCCAGGAAGACACACACACACACACACACACACACACACACACACACACACACGTTGGGAAGCTCCTCCAGCTAGCAGGCCTCTGGGCAACACCCTGGCAGGGATGGGGTGCGGGCTGGGAGCCTGAGGGGCGGGGCGGCTGAGGGGGCCCATGGAAAAGGGAGAAGCCCTCTCACCAGGGAGGGGCCGCACCTGGGGCTTCCTGGCCCCTCCATTGTCACCCTTCACCTGGGCAGGACCAGGTCCCGTGCCCTTGGCCACCACAGGAAGGTCGTGGCACAGCCAGTGCTACAAGGATGGGGATGGGCGCAAGTCCCGAGCTCTGTCCTGGACTCCTGGGGGTGTGGGTTGTGGGGGCGCAAGTCCCGAGCTCTGTCCTGGACTCCTGGGGGTGT